AAGAAGAAGAAGAAGAAGAAGAAGAAGAAGAAGAAGAAGAAGAAGAAGAAGAAAAAGAAGAAGAAGAAAGACTCGTATTTCAGCGAGTTTTTCACAGCTGTAGACAGACTACATGTATTATGTTACGATTGTTTTTCCCATCACTTGTTGGTCTGTATCTGTCTGTCTGTTTGTCCCATAACGTGTAGATTTATTTCTGTCTGTTTGCCTCATAACGTGTAGGTCTGTACCTGTCTGTTTGTCCCATCACCTGTAGGTCTGTACCTGTCTGTCTGTTTGTTACATCACCTGTAGGTCTGTATCTGTCTGTCTGTTTGTCCCATAACGTATAGATCTCTATCTGTATGTTTGCCCCATCACCTGTAGGTCTGTACCTGTCTGTTTGCCCCATCACCTGTAGGTCTGTATCTGTCTGTTTGCCCCATCACCTGTAGGTCTGTATCTGTCTGTTTGCCCCATCACCTGTAGGTCTGTACCTGTCTGTTTGCCCCATCACCTGTAGGTCTGTACCTGTCTGTTTGTCCCATAACGTGTAGATTTATAAATGTCTCTTTGTTTGCCCCATTACCTGTAGGTTGTATATATCTGTCTGTTTGCCCCATTACCTGTAGGTTGTATCTATCTGTCTGTTTGCCCCATCACCTGCTGTAGGTCTGTCTCTATCTGTTTGTCCCACATTGTGTAGGTTTGTATCAGTCTATTTGCCCCATAACGTGTAGATCTGTATCTGTCTGTTTGCCCCATGAGGTATAGATCTGTCTGTTTGCCCCATAACAAGTAGATTGTTGTTGTCGTTGATGTGAACAGGTCCACAAGACAGCCAATGACCTACTGACCCACATACGGCAGAACATTCTGCGTGACCCTGCCTGTTTCCTAGAAGTCATGTCCATCACAGTGGACGAGTGTGAGGGCCTTCTCACCTCCCTCCTGGCCGCCATGGACCGGTCAGTGACCCCGGCACAGATGGCCGTGTTCCGGCGCGCCCTGGAGAGAGAGCCGCTACCCTTATACGTGGAACTCCTGGCCAACATCGCCAAAGATCTCAACTCCTTCAACGAGGTAGATCTGGCGTCACTGCCCCGGGACTGCGAGGAGGGCATCACGAAGCTACTGGACAGACTGGAGACGAAACACGGCACCACCCTGGTGTCAAGGGCGTTTGGGTACATGGTGGCGAGCGGGACTGGACTCAGCGACTGCGAGATGGAAGACATCTTGTCTCTGGATGATGACGTACTACACGAGGTGTTCGGCGAGTTCCGGCCAGCCGTTAGGAGGATCCCCTACATCAAGTGGCTGGCGCTCAAACAGGACGTGGAGGCTTTCTTGGTCTACCGGGACGCGGACGGAGTCACTGTGGCCATCTGGCAACACGACCGCTTCCTGCACGCGGTACAGCAGCGGTATCTTAGCAACGCGGAGACGCTGTGCCAGGTACATTCCAACATCGCAGACTACTTCCTCGGCACGTGGGCGGGGCGTGCCAAACCCGTGGTGGTGACGTCAGAGAAGACAGGGGGCGTGGCTTCCTATGAGGCGGACAGGCTGGTGCCTGCACAGCCGCACACTTTTGGAGAGGAGGAAGCGGAGGACGAGGGTATGGGAGGAGGAGATGGAGGAGAGGGAGGAGGAGGAGGAGGACGATTTAATAAAAGAAAATATGACCAGGTGCCTCGTCATCTTGATCTCTCAGGTGAGTTGTAACACCAGACAGACAGACAGACACACAAACACACAGACACACACACACACGCACTCTCTCTCTCTCTCTCTCTCTCTCTCTCTCTCTCTCTCTCACGCACACATACATACACACACGCACACACACGCACATATACGCGTAAACCGACCGACTAACTGACCTACAGGTCTATCTTCACAGACCCTCCCTCAATCCCGCCCTGTCCTCATCCCTCCCACTATGCCTCCCTTACCTCATCCCTCCCTCCCTCCCTCCCTCTCACTCACACATCCCCCCCTCCCTCCTTCCCCAGGCCGCCACAAAGAACTCAACAGCCTCATCTTCTTCAACTACGAGTGGCTGTACAACAAACTCAAGGCTCTCTCCCTGCAGCACATCATAGCTGACTTCGCCCTCCAGCCCAGCCCGGAGTCGTGCCTGGTCGAGGAGGCTCTCCGTGTGTCCGAGGCGGTCATCGAGAGGGATCTGAACTCCCTGCCCGCCGAGATCTCGGGCCACCTGCTACCCTACTACACCACACACCCCAACATCAGGTCTCTCATACGACAGTGCGACCATGACGGAATCAGGCACTGCGCTATTGTGCCAAACTTTCCCTACCTACAGGTAAATGACTGGTCTACCTTTACAGGCTGCTTTTAAGTCATCTAAATTGTGTCGAAAGAGGCATTTAAAACACCTTGAAATGCATAAAATAGATATATTAAAACTAACTTGTATCAACTATCCTTCCTTACATAATATGTCCCTTCTAAACTCCCTCTACCTACTGTGTATCGTATGTGTGTGTGTGGGGGGGGGTTGTGTGTGTGTGTGTGTGTGTGTGAGCGTGAAAGAGAGAGAGAGAGAGAGAGAGAGAGAGAGAGAGAGAGAGACAGAGACAGAGAGAGAGAGACAGAGAGAAAGCATGTGGTTTGGAGGAGGGGGAGGCTGTATGTAAGGTAAAATATAATGATTTATTGATCACCACAAACGGAAAGT